ATACGAGGATTATCAAGAAGTGAACAAACAATTGGAAAAAATGTGCGTTTTCATACAAAAAAGTTTAATTAGAGAATTCTATATATTAATAATTAATTATACAGGGGTTACAACATTGGAATTCGGTTAATCGAGGACTTTCTTGCCAAAACGACCAACAATCTCGGTCGATGTACGGATTTTCGAGAGACAGCAGATGTGATTTCTAAGGTTTTACCTAATGCTAAAAAAAAAAAACAAATGATTTCTTTTAGTTGTCATAAATTAACATTTCTACGCTTATTATTATTGATCAGGTTGGTTTTAAAATCTTTTTGAACATTACACCAACAATATCAAACTGGTCTGCAAATGGAAAGGAGTTTTCACTCATCTTTGATGAGAATCCCCTAGCCGAATTTGTTGAATTGCCTGATGATGGAGCAGGCGATGAATTATGGTACTCTAATATATTATGTGGTGTGCTTAGAGGAGCTTTAGAAATGGTAATCGATTGATATTAATAGTAAAATTAAAAGTAGAATTAACGGACAAAATTTTAATCAAGTTCTTTTGTGAAAATAAAATTGTTTCAGGTCCAAATGCAGGTCGAAGCGAACTTTGTTAGTGATGTGTTAAGAGGAGATGAACAGACTGAAATGAGAGTGAAACTGATTCGATATCTTGAAGAGGAAGTTCCAGCAGGAGAGGATTAGAGATTGGATCCGTCTGCTAGTGATCCTGGTCACTAATGAAAATTAGGCTAAACTATTTTTTTACTTTGCCGGTCGATTTTTCAAAATCAGCTGATTGATTTCTTATAATGATAATATTCACTTTTTTGATCATTACAAAAAGCCTTTTTTTTTGTATATATGTTGAGTCATAATTTCTTGTGTATCATCAAATGTACTTTATCATTAGAGATATAGTGCATAAGCGATGCACTCAAAATCATGAGTTTAGATAAATGAGAAGTAATACAATATTTAATTGATTTTTAATTAGCGCTATAAAACAAATTGTAATATGGTGTTATTAACAAGAAATTTTTTTAATAAATGATCAAGACTACTTCACAATGAGATAGTGTTATTTCACAAAAAATTTTTAAAATAATTAATTGTGACGGCTGATGCTGATTTTGGCTGATGCTGAATATCACATGACATTTTGGTCCGGAAATTGCAGATCGGGAAATTTCAAAACAAACAGTCATTTGTCAAAATCGCTTACTTCTCAAAATTTTGCATAAGAAACTGCATTTCGTGCACTAACACAAATTTTCCCTAAACAATTTTACTACATAACCTTCTAACCTTCTAATTTCTAGGCACTAACCCTAACATAAACGAACTTAAAGAATTTATTTATTGGTCATGTGGTTTTTGATGATGTAGTCATTGAACTTATCTTCGTTTAAGTTAGGGTTAGTGATTACAATATGGTCAAATGTTAGTAGATGTATTAGCAAAATTGTTCAAGGAAAGCTTTTTGTTAAAACACTAAAGATTGTTTCTTATGCAGATTTTTGAGTTATAACCGATTTATGGCAGAACGAATGTTTGTTTTGAAATTTTCTAATCTGCAATTTCCGGACTAAAATGTCACATGATCTTCAACATTAGCCAAAATCAGCATCAGCCGTCACAATAATTATTAAATCACAAAGTTGAAGATATGCACATTATTACATAATCGCATATTGCCGAAATCATAAACTTATTAAACTTATCAAATCGGTCTAAAATCATTCGGTCAATTTTTTACTAGATGTCCCAAAATTTATAAGAACAGCTGTAAATCTAACGATTTTATTGTGTGACTGACTCGGTCAGTAAAAATATTAACAATATTCTACCTAAAGACCTGGAAGAAAGACAACAACACGTTATTGAAATGGTATTAGAACGATTTCTTTATTTAACTTTGAAATATAGTTTTAAATATAGTAATTATTTTGATTTTAATAGATCTGTACTCTGTCCTATATGCAATAATGATCATAAAAAAAAGAATATAAGAAATTTTATAGTGGGTGAGTGGGGAAGTGGCAAATATTGTAGTAAAAAAACTTATCGTCTCTATTGTTATAAAAATAAATGTCGCAGCTGATGCTGAAAACGGCTGATGCTGAAATTTTTTCATATTTTATTATAAAATTATAAAAAATT